GACTTGTAATAGCCACACTTTTTATGAATTATTGGAGTTCAATTAGATCTATTGCGTGCTAGAATATTTGCGACGGTAAAGTAGGAAAAATTATACTGCTTAGTGTTACACGAGTATCCAACGTATACATAGAAAGAGAAGAAACATTAGAATTTTAAGTGGAAACCCTAAAGGGAAAAATCACGTGGTCACGCCCAGTGGAAATTGATCAACTAGTATTTGAATAAATTACAAATAACTGACTCACCCTCTAACTTGAGGACGATCAGATTATAATTGTCAACCAACATGCTGAAATCCAGTGATGAATATAAATCAGAAGAAATCTGGCGACGATCTATGGTCGGATATAAATTCGAAATCAATTGGCAACCAAGTTGAAGTCTCACGACAGTCGGTTGCCTGACATGAATCTGGCGTCAGTTGGCAGTCAGGAAGAAATCCGATGACAGTTGGTGGTCCGACGATGGTTGAGGTGTTTGATGACAATATAACTCTAGTCTTTCTCTTCTTTCTCTTTCTTATTTGAGTTTCCCCCTCAATGAAGAATGAGAGTCTATTTGTAGTTTTTTTAGAGTGGCATGACAAGTAAATATGAGATAAATAATGGGAAGGTTGGGACTGGTTTGAATGGACAGCCGATATTGATCCCCTTAATTTTGAACTGTTTACTAGGCATTTAAATATCTTAATGATATCAGAATTTGGTGATCTTGGGCTCGTTGGATCTGTGTTGTTGAGCCGCTCAATTCAACTATAAGAATGTCACGTTTGGAAATCGTTTGGTTATTCAATTTATGATTTGAACCTTCCAAATACATTTTAAGTCTTTGATTTGAACTTATTTGGGCTCGAATTGAGTCGTATTTAGTGCGTTGGGTTCATCTTTTCGAGACGTTCAATTCGATTATAAGTTTGCTGAAATTTGAGCTCGGATGTTCCCACATTTAATTTTAGAAGTTCAACTTTATTTTGCCGCACGATTTGTGCTTGATTGAGATAATTTTTTGATGATATATCAAGATCATTAGTCTTAATATCACCATGTGGTGTGTAACTCAAAATGGGACCAAAATTTGAAGTTGATACAATAATAATTAAATAAATTTTAATTAAAACAGTAAAGTTAAGATTTTAAAGGTAATAATGTATTATTTATATATTGACATTTATTCATATAATACGAGATTAAATCTAATTTCTTCACGCGCCACAGTTGGGATGTAGTTTTATAATGTGTATGGAAAATTAAAGAGAGAAGCTCTTGTAGCTCAGTTGGTTAGAGCACCCGTTTAGTAAGCGGGAGGTCTTGAGTTCGACTCTCAACAAGAGCATATTATGTACCCTGCCTATCTTTTCTAAACAGAAATGGTATTTTATTTTGCATTTCCTATTTGAACTCGCCAATATTTCCTGTCAACTGAGCGTTGGTTTTATTTGAAATAACTTTTTTACAAACTTTTATTTGGTCCGGTGAACGTACGTAGAGGAACGTCCGGTCGGCACTAAATTACCGTCAAAAAACTCGGTATTTGCTCGGTACAACTAGGTATTATTTGATAATAATGATGAATACCGCTCTTTGAAGACCAATACCGAGTTATACCGAGCTATATCGAGAAATACCGAGTTGTACCGAGTTTTTTGTAGGAAAAACTCGGTACAACTTTTGTATAACTCGGTATTGCTCAAGATAGCTCGAAATAACTCGGTATTGGGTCTTCACATGATGTTATTCCTCATTATTATTTGATATTGCTCCGTGTTTGCTCGGTACAACTCGGTATTTGGCGGGAATTTGCCTCCGACCGGACGTTCCTCTACGTCCGGTCGGAGGACGTAATAATTGTTCCTTTTTTACGGCTTTCGAAAGTGCTTTAGTACAAAAAATTTCGAACTAAAAATTTTTACATGAAAGCAAAAAGAAAGCTGCCCAAACAAAACATGTCCCAATAGAAAAATTATTAGGTGCGGAGTGCTTGGATACATAATGGTTCCCAGCGGTACTGAGTGCTGGTACCACTAGATAGTCAATACTTGTGCAGACGATTCTCCCCATCCGCACTCCGTATCTAATAATCTCTCGTCCAAATATAGATGAAAACTGGATGAACTCTTGTAGATCAAGCGGACCAGATAAGGTAGGAGTGAAATTTGTTCATTACTCTGCATTTGTTCATAAAAATCTTGGCAGACTGATCTTACGTCTATATAGAGATTGTATGAATAGTAAAAGCTTTTTTTAAGCAAGTGAATAATTCACAATAAGAATTATTTTTTGTTTGTAAGTTTTAGTTTTTTTTTTTTTATGGTTTTCTCCATGCTTTTTAAAACAACTTTTTAATACAAAAATTCTTAGTTCAAAAAATTTTGGTATTAAAAATTTACTTTAGAAAACGGTCACAAACAAAGCTTTAAGCTCAAAAATTTTTTGTATTAAAAAATAAATTTAGAAAGCAGTAAAATGGCTGACCTAAATGAAGCCTTAAGCTCAATCTTTATAGGCATATTCAATGCTATTGTTATTTGGTACCATGGTTGTTATTCATCTTAGGTTCGATGGGTCAGTTTGGTGCTTTTTTCTTTCCTTTTGAGGTGATGCCACAATTTCTCAACACTTTTATTTATGGTTATCAAAGAATCAATTTTTGCATTCGGATAAAGTTGTGGCAGTGATTTGCTGTTGGACGGAAGGAATTATTCTATGTGGACACCTAACACAGAACGTCATCCGGAGACCAATCAGAATGTGCCACGTTAGCAATACCCAGCAAGGAGTGATGTGGCATATTCTAGTTGGTCTCTGGATGACGTTCAGTGTCTGCACAGAATAATTAATTGTTAGACAGCGACGTTCACCTCCATGCTGATTTCCCTTTACCCCTCTCCTTCCCCTTCCATTGATCAATAGCATATCCTGGGATTGTCTTTTTTTTTGTTTTCTCTTGTCCTCTGGACTTTCTGGCCTTAGCGAGTGCTGTTGCTGCTGCCTTGGATTTTTGGTGATGGTCATGTTCCTTTTTGTTTGCTAAGATATTTCTGGACAATGATGTGGCGGCTTTCCTCTCCCTTCTATAAACTTGCTCGGGGAAATCCATAAATAGTTGACCTCTTGTAAAAATAAATGTTTATAAATACAATTGTGATGCCTATAATGGACTAACTTTTAGCTAAATAAACTAGTTTTCTCAATTATGTGTAGATTTTTGAATATAGGTCACCTCTTTCTATTTGTCTCAAGTTTTTTATCTTTTGATAGTCTTATTTTTTTAATCTTTTTAATCTTTATAATTCATATTGGTTTGCATGTATGAATGATTTTAGTCAAAGCTGCACAACTGGATTTCTAATTGTGATGTAAAACCAAATCAACTTATATTTAGGGTTCAAATTTCTCATTGAATATCTTTGATTTAGATTTTAGACTAAGTGAATTATTATTTTAATGAATTCCTTGTGTATTGTCTAATTTACATCAAAATAAAGTGCATGCTTGTTTAATTGATTGTCTTCGAAATTGCAAATTCTAATTTTGCTTGGTGTGAATTTCATACATCACATCCTTTAGCTGCATTATGAACCCTGGGCCCTAAGATGCCTGCATCAAGTTATCTCCTAATTGTGAGATTTAGGCTTCGTTTTGGACAGCTTTCTTACTGCTTCCTAAGGCAGATTAGAAAGTTGTTTTAAGAAGCAGCGAGAAAGTTGCCCTTAGGATTTGTTTGGGACGACTTTCTTTCTGCTTCTTAAAGCAGCTTTTTAATGCAAAAAAATTAATTTTTGTACTAGAAAGCTGTTTTAAGAAGCAGTAAGAAAGCCATCTCAAACGAAACCTTAGATTCTAGTATTATGATGACATCTCTTTCTACATTTGATGCATTTCTCTAAATTTAGCTGTTGGATTGACTGTAAGATAGATTGTTTTCATGTTTGATACAATATGGGATTCAATGAACTTATGCTTACAACTATTTGCATGGTTTTTCTTGGTCCTCAATTTCCATGTGTAATTTCTAGTAATCATCAAAGTTGATCCTCATCGTATTTATTTCTTTAAACATAAGTAATGAATAGTTGTTAAAAGTAAGAGTTTGTGAAATACATAATTTTAATTGAGTGTTCAAGTTTTTGTTAATCTTCTAATAGAATTGCATAGGAAACCTTAGATCTTAAGATATTCTAGAAAAACACTGGCCAAAAGTACAAAAAGGCAATTTCTTCACTTTAACAACTAAGGAAAGGAAATGTTGCACACTTGCACTAGCCCTCAAAAGGCTGACAAACACAAGATTCCTGACTACATACATGGTAGTCAGTAACAAAGAACACAAAAAAGAGAAACTGTAATGACTTCACTACAAAAAAAAATGCTTCCACTACTTGCTACAGATTTTTGAGTCATGACATACGACAAAAACACCTACGAAGAACAGCAAAACGCTAGGAATTTTATAGGATCTAATAAGTATCATACACTGCAATAATGTAATCTAAAGGATTTATATGCAGAAATAAGAAAAAAAAAAAAAGTGCAGGACCTATATATAACAAGAGGGGAACCTAACTAGTCTAAATCACTCACAATTCAACAGATACCATGCAGCTGTTCAGGAAGTTATTTTCTGATCAATTATTAGAAAATTTCAAGAGAAGTAGAAAAGACTGTAAGCAGGTAAAATAAAGTGGTTAGTGTGAGAAGATTAAAGGTCGATTAGGATGGCTGCAGTTGTTTGTAAAATCAATGTTTTAAAAATGGTTGGGTGTTTCATAAGTTTTTTCCCTCTGAAAAGCTGGCAAACTTTATAATAGCTATCACACTCCACAAAATCTGATAATGCTAAGCTTCTCGCCACAAAAATTTCTTAAAAACAGTGAAAAAAGTTAAAGCAATATAAAAAAAGTGGCAGCAGTCAGTAAAATAAAGACTTGAAAAAGTTATCTCAAAAGTACACTAAGTTAACGCATCTTTAGCAAGACTGATAAACCATGAACTACCTTAATGAAGAGAAGTAAGAATTTAAATGCTTCAAAAATACCGAACATAAGTACCTTAGTGAAGAGAATTATGAAACATCACTATCATAAGTAGTAACACACTTGCAAGCATAACATCTCTGGAGAGATGCAACATGCAGTTTTCCAATAGCTTGCAAGAATATCAATATTCTACAACCCCAACGGAATCAATGAGCAAACACAGTATCATTTCTCCGAGGAGGTCTATCAGGAATAGTTCCAGGTTTAAACTTTGAAGCTTCATGTCTGGCAAGCTCAGGCGGCACGGGGCTATTGCTCTGAATGAGCATCTGCTTAAGATCATAGAACACCTCAGAGTCACCCAAGGTCAAGAAAGTTGTGGCCACACCAGTCTTCCCTGCACGCCCTGTTCGCCCAATGCGATGAGTGTACATATCAATGGTGTTGGTCATCTCATAGTTTATGACATGAGCAACATCTGGAATATCAATACCACGACCTGCAACGTCTGTGGCTACCAGAACATTGAAACGCTTATTCCTGAATCCCTCAAGGCTGATCTCTCTCTGCTCTTGCGATTTCCCTCCATGCAATGTTGTGACCTTATAGCCCAGTCTGTCTAAGTCCTTGGCCCGTGCATCGGCATTCTTCTTTGTATTACAAAATACAATAGCTGTTTTATCACCAAGATCATCTAGCAGCTTCAAAAGCCTCTGCATCTTCTCCGACTCCTTCAACATCATCACATTTTGAGTAATTAGATCAGTGGCTTTTCCAGCTGTGCCAATAGTCACAACCACAGGATTCCTCAAATACTTCCTAGCTAACCTCTCCACTGCTGGAGGCATGGTGGCACTGAACATATAGGTTGTTCGGTATATTCTCTTCTCATCAAGCTCCTCATCCTCATTTTCAGGCTTCAAATTGCTTGAAGGCATTGCATCTAAGACACCGACAACCTGTGGTTCAAAGCCCATGTCTATCATTCGATCAGCCTCATCAAGCACAACGTAATTACACTGGTTAAGAACAGCATATCTACGCTCCAAACAATCAATCAGACGCCCTGGCGTGGCAATAACAACCTCACAACCCTGCCTGAGTTTGAACCCCTGCTCCTCTATGGACTGGCCACCGACAATTGAAACAACCTTGATTCCCAAATAATGAGCAAATTTCACAGTTTCATCCTCGATCTGCTGGGCAAGCTCCCTTGTAGGAGCCATAACAACTGCATAAGGGCCTTCAGCCTCGTTTTCCTCTGTCATGGGGGGTAAGCGGGTGATGTACATAAGCATGGGCAGCACAAAGGCAGCAGTCTTTCCTGAACCAGTCTCAGCTATGCCGATAACATCACGCTGCTGCAAACCCAGAGGAATGGCTGCCATCTGGATGGGAGATGGCTTCTTGTAGCCAGCCTTTTCAACCGCCTTAAGAAGCTCAGTGCTCAGCTTACTCTCGCTCCATTTGCGCATAGGTCGAGGGATACGAGACCCCTTGTAGGAGATGTTGTAGTCTTCACGGAAGATGCGCCAATCTCTCTCTGTCATTTCCTCAAGATTCTTCTCAGTCCAATGCCTATCCACACGCATGTCGAAGGCATCGTAGAGCTCTGCAGCAGCCTCTTTCTTTCGTTGAGCGGCAGCCTCCTCCGGCTTCTCCTCCACCCCCTCTTTCCGCCGAATCTCCTCGCGGGTCTCTTTCTCGTGCCGCGCAGCCTGTTTCTTTTGCTCACGGCGATCAATTCCAGCGAGGAAGCCACGGCCGAAGAGAAGACGAGCCTCATGGGGGTTCTGGTAGAGGGAGTTCATGTCGCGGGATGTGTCCTCGGTGTTCTCCCAGTCAAAAGAGAAGCGGAACTTCTCGCTAGGCTTTATGACGCGCTTCTTAGGCTTCTTTGAACCTAGGTATTGCTCCTTGATTGAATCCAACTCCTTTTCCCTCTCTCGTTCCGCCAGCTTCTCGCTGCGGGCACGCTCGCGAGTTCGGGCATCCTCCTCACGCTCACGCTCCCGATCGCGGCGGCGTTCGCGGTCTCGATCCCGTTCTCGATCACGGTCGCGGTCGCGATCATGATCACGTTCTCGATCGCGGTCGCGATGTGAGCGGTGGTTGGATTCAGCGGCGGCCGTGGCAGTAGAAGAAGATGGAGGTTCGTAGGAGCCTTTGGGGCGGTATTGCTCGGCGAGCTCGAGAGCGTGGCGTTTTTGCTCTGCGGCCTCCTCTTCGCGCCGCTGTAGTGCGAGACGCTGGCGCTCTGCCTTGGAGATGAAGACGGGTTTTGCGTCGGCGGCCGTGGAAGGCGCCTTGCGGTCGCGATCATCGAAGGAACGCTTCATGGATTCTTCAATGGTTAAAGAAAGAAAATGGAGGGCAGAGAGGGACGGTCGCTTGGTTCCTCGCAGGAGGGGAAGGTAGGGTTCCGGAATGGTCGTCGGGGTTTGAGAGGATAGCTTGGGGATTGTTGGTATCTTTTTTAGTGAGGATTCAAGCAAGATTATCATTTGATTTATTGACTTTTTTTATTTTTCCTTCTTTTTTTTTTTACATTTAGATCAATTGAATTAAATTTTTATACACATCACATATATAAAATTTAAATCCAAAATTTCTTAGTTAATAACCAAAGCTTCTAACCAACCGATCAAATTGAGTAGCTGTTTAGAACTTTAACAATTATTTGTTTTTAATAAAATCCATTTTAAGGATAAATTTATTTATTATTAATTGCATCATACATAAAATTAACGACATACATAACACCTAAAATGATTCAATCTACACATTTAACATATACATTACTATTATTAAACTTATGATTTCAATGTCTTCATTCCTATTCAAAATCTAGTAACAGAGCCTCGTTGTAATTGATGATGTATAACTCTCTATACCCAATTATGAACAGGTGTGCGGAAGTCAATCAAAAAAAGGTGTAAAAGACTTACGTGATCTCGTTGGTGATGGGATTGGCAGCATGTGTAGATCGACGATAAAGAAAACATGAGGAAGCGATGATAGGATATTGCTGGGAAGAACATTAATAAGATCAATGGTGTGCTAAGGAGAAGTTTTGATGAAAGTTATAGGTGATGTCTTTGTTGTTATATAGAGTTATAAGAGTTAAGCAAATAAATAGCAAGATTTGAGTGTCAAATATATAAATATAAAAACTCTCCCCCTTAAAAGTTTCTTATAAAATTTAAATATCAAAATAAAATTTGAGTGGAAGTTCCAGAGCGTATGTACCTTTCTTTTGTTAAATTTGTGTGTTCTTTAATATTTTAGTTCAAATCCAAACCATAGTGATTGTTGGTTCAATCTTGTGAGTTTCTTTTTTATTAGGTTCTTATTTTGAGAGCTTTGCAAGAGTCATTAAAATCGTATCACATTGATGAAAGTTGTTTGATGGTTAAAACAAATATGCTTGTGTATCATATGAAAGTAAAACTATAGGGCAATATTTTAGACGTTATGAATGGTAAAAACTATCGCACTATATGCACTACTCATTTAAGCAAAATCCCATGAAACTAGCAATAAATGAACCAACCACCACCGACATATTGGTTATATTTGATTTGGTTATTCACAATAGATAGATTTGGCAATATTGGCTCAACTTTGATCATTCCTTCTTCCCCCATGGAGCAAAAATTGAACTTTACAACTTAACATGATAGACCATACATTCATACATCAATACTAACCATAGGTATTTAAAATGAAAACAAAAAAGAAGTTAAATTATGCATTTAAGCTTCGTTTGAAATGGTTTTCTTAATGCTCCTTAAATCAACTTTTTTAATACAAAAATTTTATTTTTCTACTGAAAATTTATTTTATGAAGCAATAAAAAATCGTCCCAAACGAAACCTTAATCTTCTTAAACAAATTTAGTAGCCCTCCAACAGCCCAACCCTGTACTTATCAGAGTCAATATTTCAGGTAATGAGATCTATATAATTACAAATTCAATCCATTTTCAACTTCCCTGTGCTATTTGTAAGAAGAAAATAATGCTACTTTGACTCTGTATTTTAATGTATCTCATCACTTTGTTTTCCGAGAGAAGATCGTCTATAATCATCATTGATAACTGTACAAACAGTTTCAACTCATTACTCACTCCAACTAACCAATCATCAGAATAAAAATATAAAAAACGAGAAAGAATTCAGTTAAAATATCTCCAACAAGTTTCTAATAGCAAAAATGAGCTAACTTTACCTTAAGAATGCAGTCCAATCCTCTTATATATACAAGTCACGTGAGAAAATAGCTAAAAATATGTCATGTTGGTCATTTATCGTTTAATTTTCAGTAAAAAATTACACTGCATAATCACTCTTTTTCAGACATCAACGGGGAATTAGACTGAAGAATACTGCAAGCTCTCCATGGAATTTCGTTAGCCATTGAAGAAGATTTAGTGACAGGAAACAAAGCTTTAACGCCCATAAGAATCATCTTCTTCATTATCAGAAATACCAAGCATGGCGAGAGCTAGATGACCTCCCATATCACGTTTCTCATGTGTTTCATGAAACTGGGAACCATAGCCTGCAAGGCAGCCATTACCACTAAACAAAGGCCACTCACAACAAGCAGTTCCTTCTTCCCCCAGCAACATTGCAAGGACCAGATCAATGCTTGGTCTTGTTGAATCTTCACAGCTCAAACAAGCATTAGCGGCTTGAACCATTCGGTACATCTCCCTCCTGCTGTAGGAGATTAGATTAGGATCGACCAGTTTCTCGATCGCATCCTCGCCTTGCCGTAAAAGCGGTTTCGCCTGTTCAATTCATATATAAGATTTTGATAGTGAGAAGCTAGTCATTCATAGTACACATATATAGCTCTACAAAAATATCATCCAACATGTACAGGACTGGACTCATTGCATTAATGGGGCCTAATGTTGATGCAGATTGTGTTTTGTATGATAACATTGAATATATCATTGATAGTATCTGTTTTCCTTAGAAAAAGATAATGAGTTGAGAAGCAGAGATTTTCTACATGCAAAATATGATTGTGCACCAATAGCTTCGTAATTATGATATACTTACTGGAAGATGGTTAAGAAGAGAGCACTTAAATAACAAGAACTGATTTGGCAAGCAAAGTCCATATTGATGAAATAACCTATAAAAAAGAAGAATTTACAATATTTGATCGCTGAAAATGAAAAATGACTTCTTCCGTATTTTTGATTGCTTGATTGATCCATGTGTTGGGAAATTTCTATATGTGGGCCAATATATTTTATACATATAAATAAAGAATTATACATTAGACGCTATCTAAAATTAAGCCAATTAAATTTGTGATCTAATTGAGTATTAAATTATTATTTGGCTTATGTGACATCTCAATTAAATTTTGTATGGAATTAATTTGTGTAGAGGCCGGGTATTTATTTTATTTTTATGATGGGCTGAAATAAAATATTTACACTTAAAGTATATAAGGGTCATGGTCCCCAGTTTAAGCGGTTAAGTTCTCATTTCCCTCATTTCCCATCTTGAGTGAAAAGAAGGGGTCTCTCGCTCTCTTGGAGAACGCCGCTCTAAACGTGGAAGATCGAAAGACCTTAATTCTGTTTTTCAATGGATTCAGGTACGCTTCCGAAAATTCTTCTCGATGATTTGGCATGTCGTTCGGAGACGATCGAATTGATTTTTGTGTCTCCTAATAGTGATGCTTTTACTGATACTGAAGATATGGGTCTTGTTGCTAAATGTTTTCCTAAGGATGATATTGATACTAGTTTTCATAAGGTTCCTAGTAAAAGAGGAAGGAAAAAATAGCAGTTTATATTACAATCTCCTAGAAATACTCACTCAAATACTTCCCATTAATTTAGTTTATTTATGTTTAACTCTATTATTTTCAATGTAAGGGGGATTGGTTGTCCTTCTTCTAGAATTCATGTGAAGAATTTATGTCGTATTCATAATATTTCTATTTTGGTTTTGCTTGAGCCTCTTATTTCTTCTTCTAGGATACTTAGTACTTCTCATTTTTTGGGCTTTAATTATGATATTTCAAATGTGGCTAATAAGATTTGGATTTTTTGGAAAGATAAGGTTAAAATTGATGTCATTGGTGACTTTACTAAAGTTATCCATTGTCAAATTGAGGTTTTTAACATGCATTGTTGTTCCTCGTTTGTGTATGCTGGTTCATCTTGTTATATTAGGAAATTATTGTGGGACAAACCTTTTAATTTCCATAATATTTATAATTTTCCTTGGCTTGTATGTGGTGATTTTAATGCTATTACTATCCCTTCTGAGAGGGTTGGAAGTTTATGCCCGTCTTATCGATCTATGGATGATTTTAGTAATATGATATTGGATAGCAATCTCATTTATATTGGTTCTTCTTGTAATCAATTTACTTGGAATAGAGGTAATTTATGGCAACGTTTGCTTCGCATTCTTTTTACTAACTCTTGGCTTAGCTCTTTTAATTCTATTAATGTGCATCATATGAGTAGAACTCTGTCTGACTATTCTCCTTTGCTTATTAGTCTTAATTTTAGACACTTTGATGGCTCGTCTCAGTTCATATTTCAAAAAATGTGGTTACTTCATGATTCCATTTTTAAACTTGTAAAAAATAATTGGTATGCCCCTCTTCATCCGGATAACTCATGTTTTTGTATGAGGAGGATCTAGTTTAAGCTGAAAAGGCTTAAGCAGATTTCAAATTGGTGGAAGCTTATTGTTTGTAAAAATTTATTTTCTAATATCTTGGTGGCTGAGCAACTTGTTGAGATGTTGGATTCTTCTTATCAAGTTGACCCTTATGATGCCAATTTATCTCTTTTAAATAAGGCTAAAGAGGATCTCTTTAAATTACAAGTACAGGAAGAAGTTTTTTGGAAAAAAAAAGCTATTGCTAAGAACTTGGTTGAGGGTGAAAACAACACTAAGTGTTTTCATACTTTGTTAAGAGTAAACGATGTAAAAAATGGTATTAGTAAAATCCAAAGAGATGATGGCCATGTCTCTGAAGATACTGAGGAAATTGCCAATCTAACTATTCTTCACTTTCAAAGTCATATCAATAAAACTTTTAATCCCATTCGTATTAATGATCACTCCTTTATTCCTAGTCTTATTTCCCAAGAAGACAATATGAATTTCACTAAACCTCCTTCTTTTGAGGAGGTGAAAGATACATTATTTGGTATTAATAGTGATTTGGTGGCTAGCCCATGTGGTTATATTACTCAAGTTTTTTCAAAAATCTTGGCATATTATTAATAATAATATTTTTGCTTCCATTCTAGATTTTTTGCTCGTAATTATATTCCTAATTTTTTTATGTATGTCTACTTCTATTGTGCTTATTCCTAAAAACAACTTTGTTAAAACTTGAAATAATTTTTGCCCTATTAGTATTTGCACTTTTTTAAAAAAGTTGATTTCTAAAATTCTCATGATTCTTCTAACGTTTCTTTTACCCAGAA